ATTTTTTGATGTATTTATTAGCCACTTGTATTTCTTCTTTGAGAAGTGTCTGTTTAATTCTTTTGCCCCTTTATTAATTGGGTTTTTTGGTGAAGTGTTTTTTAGCTCTTTATATTTTCTAGATATTAATCCTCTGCAAGAGTCGCTAACAAGGATTTTCTCCCATTCTCTGGGTTCACTCTTCACATTCTTAATTATTGTTTCCTTTGTGGCACAGAAGATTTTTAACTTAATGCCATCCCATTTATTAATTCTTGACCTATTGCCTGAGCTTTAGGAATCCTATTGAGAATGTTGTTGCCTGTGCCTAAAATCTGGAGTGTTGACCCTACATTTTCTTCTGCAAGTTGCAATTTCTGGTCTAATTCATAGGTATTTGATCCATTTTGAGTTGACTTTTGTGCAGGGTGAGAGATAAGGGTCTAGTTTCATTCTTCCACATGTGATAACCAGTTGTCCCAGAACCGTTTGTTAAAATGCCTGTCTATCCTTGCATCTCCAAAGTATATTTTTGGCAACTTTTTCAAGGATTAGATGATTTTATCTGTGTGGATTTGTCTCTTGTGTCTTCTACTCTGTGCCATTGGTCTATGTGTCTTGTTTTTATGCCAGTATCATGAAGTTTTTGTTACCATAGCTCTGTAGTATAATTTGAAGTAAGGTATTGTGATGCCTCCAACATTGCTTTTTTGGCTTAATATTGCTTTGGCTATTCTGGGTCTTTTATTCTTCCTAATGAATTTTAGGACTGTTTTTTCCTGGTTTTGTGAAGAATATCATTGTTATTTTGATAAGGGTTGCATTGTATGTTGCCTGTGGTAGTATGGGCATTTTAATATTAATTCTGCTTATCCAGGAACATGGAGGTCTTTTCATCTTCAAAGCTCTTCAATTTCTTTTAATGTTCTGTAACTTTCATTATAGAACACTTTCACCTCTTCAGTTAGATATATTCCTAGGTATTTTACTTTTGTTTGGGTTATTGTAAAAACTGTTTTCCTGATTTCTTTCTAAGAAGATTCATTGTTGGTATATATTGTTTTATAACCTGCTACTTTGCCAAATTTATTACCTCTAGAAGTCTTTTGGTGGAGTTTTTTTTTTTGTTTTGTTTTTAATCTTCTAGGTATAGAATCATATCATCCACAGTGATAATTTCCTTTCCTATTTTTATCCTTTTTATTTGCTTCTCTTGCCTAATGGCTAGAATTTCTAAACTGCATTAAATAGGAGTGGTGAGAGTAGACATCTTTGACTTGTAGATTCTAAAGTAAATGCTTTCAATTTTTCCCCATTTACTATGAGGTTGGTTTTGAATTTTTAATATATAGTTTTATGATGTTGAGGTAGGTCCTTCTATTACTAGTTTCTTCAGTGTTTTTGTTATGAATGCGTGCTGAATTTTTCAGACTTCTCTGCATCTATTGAGATTACTGATTTTTGACCTTAATTCTTTTAATGTGATGAATTATTTATTGATTTATATATATGAAACTATCCTTGCATCTCTGAAATAAACTCAACTTGGTCATGGTGTACAATCTCCTTGAAATGTTGTTGGACACAATTTGCTAAATTTTATTAAGTATTTTTGCATCTAATTTCATCAGGGATATTAGTCTATAGTTTTCTTTCCTTGATGTATCCTTATCTGGTTTTGGTGTGAGTGTGATACTGGTTTCATAAAATGAATTTGGAAGGTTACATCCTTATTTCATAGAATTATTTCAGGATTATTGACATTAGTTCTTCTGCAAAGGTTTGATACAATTTGAGAACCCATCTGGTCCTGGAACATGGAGGTCTTTCCATCTTCAAAGCTCTTCAATTTCTTTTAATGTTCTGTAAGCTTCATTAAAATCTTTTTATTACTGCTTGTATTTCAATACAAGTTATTGACCTGTTTAGGTTTCCTACGTCCTGATTCAGCTTTGGCATGTATTCAACTAGAAATGTATCCATTTCTTGTAGGTTTCCCAGTTTTCAAAATAGTCCTAATGATATGCTGGATTTCTAACATCTGTGATGAGTTCTCCTTTTTATCTCTGATTTTCATTAATCTTACTTTTCTCCCTTTTTTAGTTTGGCTAAGGATTTATCAATCAATCTATTTAAAAAGAACTCTATTTCATCCATCCTTAGGATTGTTTTTTTATTCTCAAGTTCATTGATTTTCAGCTGTGATCTTAAGTCTTTCCTTCCTTTTATCGGTTTTGGAATTGGTTTGTTCTTCCTTTCAAAGGGCCTTGCAATGCATCATTAGGTCATTTATTTGGGACCTTTCTAATTCTCTTATGTAGGCACTCAGCTATAAACTTTCCTTTCAGAACTACCTTCGCAATGTCCCAGATGTTCTGGTATGTTGCATCACTATTCCTATTTAAGAATTTTTAAATTTCTCACTCAATTTCTTCTATCACCCATTCATCCTTCAGAGTATTGTTCAATCCCCATGCTGTTTATATAGCTTTCATAGGGTTTGGTTGTACTGATTTTTAATTTCATCCCATCATGATCTGATAAGATGCAAGGAATTATATCAAATTTTTTTTTTGGTTTGGTAAGAGTTGCTGTATGGCCTAAAATATGGTCTATCTTGGAAAAGGTTCCATGAGATTCTGAGAAGTATATTATTATTGTATAAAATATTCTATAGATGCCTGTTAGGTCCATTTGATTTATATTTTTAACATCCATAGAGTCTTTACTGAGTTTTTGTCCAGATGAGCTATCTAATGGTCAGAGAAATCACCCAGTATTATTGTACTAGGGGCTATCTGGGGCTCCAATTTGAGTAGTGCCTTTTATGTAATCAGTTATGCTCATACTTGGGGCATAAACATTTATTATTGTTATATCTTCTTGTTGGATTGCTCCCTTTACCAATGCAAAGTGACCTTTTTTCCTTTTTCTGATATAATTTTTGTCATATGGGAGTAGCTACTTCTGCTTGTTTTCAGACTCCATTCACATGGTATATCTATCAATTTCCATCCTTTCACTTTCAGCTTGTGGCTGTCTTTGATATGTCTCTTACAGACATATAGTTGGGACCTGTTTTTTAATCCACTTTGCCAACTAACATCTATTAATTGGAGAGTTGAGACAATACACCTTCAATGTCAAGATGTTTATTAACTTCTGTCATTTTATTGTTTAGTCTTGTTTCTCATTTGCTTAGCTACTCTTCAAATGAGTTTTTCTGTGAGCTCTGAAGCCTTTTCAATTTGTTTAATATTTAAGTTCTGTAGTGCCAGTTTACTAGTCATGAGTTCTTTTATTAGGGCTTGTAGAGTTTGTACTGAGAAATCAGAAGCAATTGTGATTGGCTTGCCTCTTAATATGACCTGGTGTTTTTTCTCTTGAAGAAAAATATGGAACATTAAAAAAAAAAATGTGTCATCCTTGTCCAGGAATCATGCTAATCTTCCGTTTATCTTTTCAATTTTAGTGTATGTACTGCCAAAGCAAGCTCAATTTGTCATTCTTCAGTCTTCTTGATCACTCAAAATATTTGATCGTTTTTCAAGGTCTAAGAGGAGATGCCACCTTTGTGGTTTGCTTTCAGCTTTCATGGAACAAAGCTGAGAATTCAAAATATTTCATTTTCTGCTCATGCAGGAAAAAAATTACAAAAAAAGATATTTCTAAATTATTAGATGAATCAGAAGATCATGAGAGGCAGACATAGCACTATACTCTAGAGATAGTGACAAAACTGATTGTGTAAGTGAAATTTCAGCCTGTCTTCAGATGACCTACATTGCAGAATTTTTCCATTCAAGAAGTGAATAATATGTTTCTATGAAGGAACATACACTCACCCAGTTAGTCATGTAACAGGAAGGATTTCACCTTGCAGTATTTTGCCATAATAAACTGGACCACCTTGCTTTGCTAAAAGGATGTCACAGTACTATCTTTAGTGTTTATGCATCAAAATTTATTTGCTTTTGGTTTGCGACTTAAGAAGGATCCATTGGATGCAAAGATGATAAATGTTGATAAAGTTTTCCTGTTTACTAAGAGTTAAAGCACTGTATTTCAGGGAGGTAGACCTTGCTTCAGAGACACGACACTGTCCAATACCATACAAGTATACAATATCAAAACCAAATTTTAAAAATACAAAAAAGAAAATTTTATTAATCCTTTTAAAAACTTGACAAAATTCAGTCTTCCATATTTTACCCTGGCCTGGCTCACCTCACCTTACCTCTACCATAGTTTCATGACTACTCAGGCTTTCTTCATTCTGCTTCAGGTTGGTTAACATTCGACATGTGATCGTGGTCCTCTTTGGAGATTTTGTTGTTGTTCACAAATAAATGCAACATGCTCTATGTCTGAGACCAAAACCCAACTACCTTCCACCCTATGAGATCTACTTAATCTCACTTAGCCTATTGGCTACCATTTTAGAAATGAGGCAATAACTCACTACATGGACATACTCCCTGTATCTTTCATTGTTAGACCGTGCATTTAAACAGTATGTCCTCTCCTTTGTTCTAATAATAACATTTCCACTAAGTTTACTAATGGTCCAATTACAAATCTACTGACAAGAAAACATATGTTCTAATACTACTGAATTTTAAATATAATTACTTGTGGAATCATCACAGAAGAAATCACTAAAACTATAAAACCATAAAACATATAATAGCCAATAATCATAAAATATACTTAGGGCTTATTATTTGGCAAATAATATTCTAAATACCCCAAATACATTAAAATAATTTGCTTCTCATTTTTGTGGTAGTATTATTCATTTTACACATGAGCAAACTAAAGCACAGAGATGTTACTTACCCAAAGTTACACAGTGGCAGAGCCAATATTTAATTTCAGCTTAGTTGTAGAGCCTACACTTAAATCTCTACATTAAATTGCTTTCTCCAGTTAAGAAAAAAAGATCATCACAAATAGATTAAGCTATAATTTTATAACTTTCAACTTGCTTTCATCATAGTGAAAATAAAATAACACACAGCTTACAAAAATAAATTTTTATTAAAAGCAGTAGAGTCTGAGCAGGAAGACAGTACAAAGAATGTAAACAATGTAAACATCACTACATTCAGCTCAGCCTGATTGAACGCTGAAAAACAAGTCTAAATGCTCTATGTGCTCTTGCTAGCAAGATACATTAATTCTATTTTACACAGACAACACAGTCTAATTTTGAGTAGGAAAAAATATTTTATCGAAGTCGATCCCAACGCCAAATACTGGCATCATCACAAACTGCTATAAGAATGCTGCTATCCCTGCTAAAACTGGTTTGTCGAATAGCAGCACCACATTTATGATGAGTCAGTGTTGTACATCTAGGGAAAAAACATGACAAGAGGTTAAATATTTTACATTATACTACCAATATCTACCTTTAGAATGAATAAGAAAATAAACAGATACCAAGTCTCTTTAAAAAGCATTTAAAACCAGACTATCTTCATTAAAAGTTCAATCTCAAATCTCATAAAATTTGGGTATATTTTAAACCCAAGCGGCACCATATAATTTTTACAAGTATCACCAAGGTGCTCATTATTAAAATAAAAAAATACTTGTAACTCTGAAATTTGTAAATGTTAAAATGTTATTTAAGGATGATACTGCAAGTGTCAATATTTTTTCTATATTTGCATAAAACTTTGGGGGGAATAAGGCAGAAGTCTTTAATATTATAGAAATTTCTCAATACTTACTTGGCTTTATGAGGATCTTCTACTTCTAAATCCCAAACATAAAGTTTGCCAACCTGATTGCCCAATGCAAGCATCTGTGTAAACATTTTTAAAAACATCAAATTAATAAAATCACCATGCTCCAAGGCATTCAACAATCCTAAGACAACTTTCTTACTTCAGAAAAACCTCGGCTCCAGCCTCTGACTGCGCTCTTGACTATTTCTTTGGATCTTATATTCCTGATTTGTAAATAGGAATAAGAGCAATTAATATTTCACAGGTGTCCTGAGTAAAATAAGAAGGCACTTCACAATTTTATGAAGGGCTTTACAGTTTACATTGTAATGTGGTACTCTTTTTTCTGCCCTGCCTTAAAGAATTATAGCAACAGTTGTGGAAAGCTCTTCCAAAACATGTTTTTCTTTTCTTTTTTTTTTTTTTTAAAAAAAAAGAGATGAATACCCAGTTAATTTGTTACCACAGAATCCTAACAACAGATTTCTTTAACATTTTAGGTAACTAGTAACTAGTATTTAACCTGTCTTCCATGCTGATTTTCCTAGGAAAAAGCTACAGAAGTAATTTAACATTCCAATCACTAAAATATTAAATGTTAGTAACAGTTATTATGGAATGTAACCTAAATTTAACTACTGATACCAAACTGCCAATTTTATTTATAACAGGCATTGCAGATGGTATACAGAGCCCACAATGGCAGAATTTTTTAATCAATACAAAACATCAAGATAGATTCTTAGAGTAAAAAGAACATGGATATAACAGAAAAAAGTTAGAATTACAATGGAGTATAAGCCAAATAATTTCAAAATGTAAAAATATGCTGCTACCTTTTGCCAGAAATCCATAGAAAACCTCATGTACCAAATGTCACACTGGCTGTAATCAAATCGCCCAAGAATAGTCACATTAGACTCACTAGGTTTAATTTTATCTATATCATCTTCCATTTTGCCAGGTTTCCAGCATACAATGGCATTTTCACAAGACTAAAAGAGAAAAAAGAAAAACAAGTATTAATTTTAGAACTGAATTTTAAAAATTTAAAACAAGACTATTATTTTAGAATGACAAGTCAAAGAATGTGGTTAATCCAGTGATACACATTCATTTGTATACAGTCAACGTCCACATTTGAGTATAAGAAATCTGATCAACAAAATTAGACAATACAAAAAAATTATGTTGTTTGGAATATTCATGTTGGAAGTCACAATTTCTCTTCATAATCAAACCACGTTCAGCTCTAGATACTTTGGTACCCAGAGATACTTTGAAATTACATTTCAAAGGTATAATTATAAAAACACTGTATTAGAATACATGGCTTTTCAATATCTGGTCCTTCTTTTTATCACCAGTTTCCCCAATTTTCCAACTTATTTCTAATCCTTTATTGCATTCTTCAACCACAGTGTCTGTACCACCTGACAGGTAACAGATATAATGAATTCATTCAATGTGCCTTGAAGATCAGGTTTGAAGTAGGGCAAAAGGAGGCAATCAAAGCAGTAGTTTAACATCAAGACACCGACATGTGGATGGGCTCAAATGATATGAAGTTATACTTCTCTTATCATATAACACTGACTCTTTGTGCACACATTCCTACTTAGGCAGGAACTGGTAAAGAATACAATGAAAAGAAAATTTCAAAACTGTGGATGTCTTTCATATTATTAATTGGTAGAAGCCAGACATGCTGACAAAAATCTTCTGATGAATTGGATAGTTCCTCACCAAATTACATTATACAGCACAACCTCAATAACACCAGATTAAGAAACCTTGGTTTAAGTAAACAGTGCTCCCTGGATTTTGCTGTGCAGCTTACACTATCAAAGGCGGTAACCCTGCAGCAAGGGTAACTGGCATTTAAACAGTTTAACCACATGGTCATAAGAAGATCAGAATGGGATAATACTTTTTCTTTTTTTTTTTTTTAATACCATGGATTGAACCTAGAGAGGCTTAACAACTGAGCCACATCCCCAGCCCTTTTTTATATTTTATTTAGAGACAGGGTGTCACGGAGTCGTGTAGGGCCTTGCTAAGTTGCTGAAGCTGGCTTTGAACTAGCAATCTTCCAGAGCTACTGGGATTACAGGCATGCACCACCATACCTGGCAGGACAACACATTTTTTTATTCTTTTTCAAATTTTTCAAACATAATGCTGTATGGTATATGTTACACAAGTTCTTAACTACAAAGTACCCTCAGAGATCACCTTAGCTTGATGACTCTTGAACAAGTGTACAACTAGATCAATAATAACTTGTGGAATTTTCTCAGGAACCTCATCGTGACCCCAACCCCAATGAATCAGAATCTCTCAGGGGAAGGCAGAAGCATAAGAATTATAAAATTGTTCTTCATGTACTTCTTACTGTGCTGATAAAGAATATTTTTCCCCCTGTGGTGGGGGATCAAACCCAAGGCCTAAGGCATGCCAGCCAAGCACTCTACCATTGAGCTACATCCCCAGTCAAGAATTTTAATTATTAGAGTCCCGCCTCATGGAAAACTAAAGTAAGGGAAGATAAAAAGAATTTACCAGAGCTGATTCATTACCTTCGAAATCATCTAGGGAGTGTTTTAGAATCACAGATTTCTAGGGTTCTTGTGCCAAATTTAGAATGTTTGGGGGATAAAGTGTAGGAATCTATTTTTACCATGTTCTTCCAGTGATTTTTAACACAGAGCCAGATTTGAGATGACCATTAATATTTAGTCCAACCTCTCACCTAAATTCAGAAATCCTGTCCTTAAGTGTGATTACATTCCCAGTATGGGGAAATGAACCCAGGAGTATGGGTTCTTGAACCACTGAATTATATCACTGGTCCTTTTTATTTTTTTGAGACAGTGTCTCACTAAGTTGCTAAGGGACTGAAACTTGTGTTGTTCCTGCCTCAGTCTCCTGTGTTGCTGGGATTATAAGTGTGCACTACTGAACAACTGGCCAGATTAAGTTCTAAGGGTAGAAATTTAAAGCTACTGGCTTTTTATTGCTGCTACAAAAAAAAAAAAAAAAAAAAAAAAAAGGAGTAGATTCACTTTTCTCTATTAATTCCCCTGAATGTAACTTAAAAGACTAAATATCATATAAAGCAAACAATCTTAAAGGTGAGAAAAGGCAGACAAGTTATGAACCCAGGAATGTGAACCATAAGAGTGTTGAGTTCTCTGGATTTTCTTTATATCCCAGACTGGATGCTAGAGAAGGCAACAAAGCAAGAATGCTAACAAGTAAAGACAAGCCTCTCAAAACAGCACAGAAAAACCCATGACTCATCTTCACTTGAACCTACAAAATCCTGGTAAGGAACCATTCTTAAGTCATAACTAAGTACCTTGATTACATATCCACTGGTATCCCATACCCTTAGCATCAATAAGGTGACTTTCTGGCTGGCCTAGTATCAGAGAAGGGCTAGAGAAGGCCTAACAGAGTCAGGACAGTCACAACCACTCAGTGGTAAGGCCATAACTAACTATCCACACAGCAGTGGAGACTATTAGTTCAGCACTAATGAGGCATCCCAACCCCTCCAACTATGGTTGTATTAACTGAGGCCTAGTAGAAAGTCTGAACTCCCACCCACTAACTGGTAACCACAAGGCTGTGCTCTCCTTCCCCAGCTGAAAAGTATCAAAGAAGCCTACCACAAGGGAAGCTTGAAAGAAGATCTAGAGTCTCATAATACCCTAAATATCCACAAATCAATAAAAAATTACTGGGATACTAAGAATCAGAAAAATCTCAACTTGAAAAAAAAAAAGATACCAATACTGAAGCAATAGATGTCACAATTATCTGATAAGGATTTTAAGGCAGCAATCATAGAAATGCTTTAATGAGTACAAATACATACACTTGAACTAAAAAAGGTTTCAGAAACAGAATATATATGGAAAAATTTGAAATAAAATTGTATTATAATCAAAATTAAAACTTCAATGGATGGGCTGAATAGCAGAAGACAGAGGAGAGAGTTAAGAATTTTAAAAAGAGAACAACAGTAATTATCCAATCTGAGTAAAAAAGAAAACAGACCTTAAAAAAAAAAAAAAAATCCGAGAAACCAAATTAAAGATCTAACATTTCATCAGACTCCAAACTAGGGAGAGGTGCAGGGTTAAAAAATAACTCAAATAATGGTTGAAAGGTTTCCAATCTGAGACAAAAATATGCCCCCAAAACATAAACCTAGGGCTGGGGTTGTGGCTCAGTAGTAGACTGCTCCTGTAAGCATGTGTAAGTCTCTGGGTTCAATCCTCAGCACTACATAAAAATAAATAAATAAATAAAATAAAGATATCATGTCCATCTATGACTAAAAGAGTAATAATAATAATAATAATAATAATAATAATAATAAATCTATCAAAGATTCAAGAAGGTAGTGAACGCTAACAAAATAAATCCAAATAAATCTCCATTCAAATTATACTCAAACCCCAAACTACAAATATATTCATGTTCAATCTAAAAACTAAAGACAAAGGAAAAATGGTGAAAGCAGAAACAAAAAGAATGCCTTATCTACAGAGGAGAAAAATTTCCAGAAGATTCCTCATCAAACCAAAGGGGGGACAAATACTTTTTCAATAGTTAAAAAACAAAACCTAAAAAACTGTGAAGCCAGAAAACTATATTTAGTGACTACATCCTTCAAGAATGAAGAAGAAATAAAGCCATTCTTAGATGAAGGAAAACTAAGAGAATTTTGTCAACAGCAGACCTACCTACAAGAAGTTTCCTGAACAGAAGGAAATTATTTAAGGAGTCATCTTGGCATTATGAGTATGGAAGAACAGAAAAAGCAGGATGAGTAGTATGTAATACTCGCTCCCTTTTCTTTTGGGTTTTCTAAATTATATTTGATGACTGAAGCAAGATTCTGATGTGGTTCTCAATATAAAGCAAATATTTAAGAGTTGTAAATGAAGAATAAAGGAATGAAAAGTCATACATTTCACTTGAATTGATAAAATACCAATACAAGGATGACATGTTACACATATACAGTAAAGCAACCACTGAAAAAAACCCAGAGAGAGAAATGAAAACAAAAACATATAAACAAAAATAACCAATCCAGCAGACTAATATAATTACCTAAGTTAAGGCTTAAATATAAATGGTCTAAATAAATCAAATAAAATAAACCACCAGAGAGGATTAATTACAAAATGACTCAATTATATGTAATCTATAAGAAACTTACACAACAAACAGATGTTAAAAAGTAAAATATTACATAACAATAAAAGGGTAAAGCCACCAGGATACAGCAATACCAAATATATATGTACCGAACAACAGAACTGCAAAACCTGTAATAGAATTGTCAGGAGAAAGAAAAATCTACAATATAGCTGGAGATTTAATCATTTGTCTCTTAGTAAGTGACAAAACAGTATACATAAAATCAATAAGACACAGAAGAATTTAACACCATCAACCAATAGCATCTAATTTTCACAATACTTATTCTTTTCAAACTCCCATGAAACATATCTAAAATAAATTCACAGAACTTCTTTAAAAAAAGAAGATACCAATAAAAATTAAAACATAAAGAGCAACAAAATAAAAAGTTCTTTGAAAAGATCAATACTGATAAAGCTCTAGAAAATGACAAAAAAAAATACAAATTTCAAGAATAAAACAGGTTTTATCATTAGAGACCCAGTAGATAGTCCCAATTCATTTATATAAAGTCATTATTACTGATACCCAAACCATATTAAAATAACAAGGAAAAAAAATTCAGGTAAGTTTAATACTTCATGAATCATCCACAAAAATACTTAGAAAATAGAATTTTACGACATATAAAAGAAATTATACAGCATGACCAAGTAGGGTTTATTCTAGAGAAACAAGGCTGGATCAATACTCAAAAAATAGTACAATCCACTAAATTAACAGGCTACAGAATAAAGAAAAAAACATAATTTTATCAACTTATGAAGAAAAAGCATTTGACAAAAATGAAACCCATTTGTGGAAAAACTCAAAAATTTAGGAAGAGAATACAATTCTCAACTTGACAGAGAATACCTAAAACAAAACAGAACAACAATAATAACAAAAAAATCCAGCTATTAATTATGAGACTATAGTCAAAATGTCTGTTCTTAACATGGTTATTCAACATAGTACCAACAGTTGAGTTCATCAGTGCAATAAGGAAAGAAAGAAAAGGCATACAGATCATATAGGAAAAAAATAAAATTGTCCTATTAATAGATGACAAGATGGTCTACATAGAAAATCCCAAGTAATCACAGAATCAACAAGAACAAAAAAAGTTCTTAGAAAAAGCAATTTATTTAGGTTGTAGGATTCAAGATTAATATTCAATCAATTGTATTTCTATAGACTAGTTATGAACTCATGGAAATGGAAATTTAAAATACAATTTATAATAGCTAAAAAAGAGAATAAAGAATACTTAGATGTAAATCCAACAAAGCACAAACAAGGACTTGTATGCTAAAAGGTATAAATGCTGATAAATACAATTTAAAAACTAAGTAAATGAAAGACATACAATATTTATGGATTATAAAACTCAAGATATTACTGCCCCTCAAAATTACATATAAGTTAAACATAATTTCAATCAAAATCTCCCTCATCCCAAAAAGAAATCCCAATAAGATTTTCTTTTTTTTTTGGTAAATGTAGACAAGATTCATTCTAAAACTTATATGTAAAGGCAAAAGAACTAGAATAGCTAAAAACAATTTTGAAAAAGAATAAAGCGAGAAATCAACCTATCCAATTTCAAGACTTATCATAGTGCTACAATAATGAAGACCATGTATGTAGTGATGGCACAGAGACAGACATACAGTTCAATGGAACAAAGTATGTTCAAATAATTTTTGACAGGTACAAAAGCAATTCAATGGAAGAAGCATAGTCTTTGAAAAAATAATACTGGAGTAACTGGGTATGTATAGGGAAAAAACTAACTTCAACTTGAACCTCGTACTTTTTACAGAAATTAACTCAAAATAGATCATACATTTGAGGGAAAACATAGCAAGAAAACAAATAAAACAAAAGAGAAAATCTTTAAGGCCTAGGACTTAGTGAAGAGTTCTTAGACACAACATTGAAAGCATTGTCTACAAAATTTTTTTAAAAAATCAAAAATTGAATTTCATAAAAACTGAAGACATTTTAAAGACCCTGTTAAGAGGATGAAAAGCTACAGACTGGAAGAAAATATTTGCAAACTATGTATCTGACACAGGAGTCATATTTAGAATATATTAACAACTCTCAAAACTCAACAGTAAAAACAAAACAAAACCAATCCAATTAGAAAATGAGTAAAGATATGAAAAGACATCACCAAAAAGGATATATGGATGATAAATAAGCACATGAAAAAGATGTTCGACAACACTAGCCATCAGGGAATGCAAATTAAGACCACGATGAGATATCACTACACACCTATCAGAACAGCTAAAATAAAAAATAATGACAATACCAAATGCTGGCGAAGATTCGGAGACACTGGATCTCTCATACATTGCTGGTGAGAATGTAAAATGGCACGGCCACTCTGGAAAATAGTTTTGGCAGTTTCTTAAAAAACTAAACAAACTTAACCATGACCCAGCAATTGCCCTCCTAGGCATTTATCCCAGAGAAATGAAAAACAAGTCCACACCAAATCCTGTACAAAATCATTAATTAGCAGCTTTATTTGTAATAGCCCCAAACTGGAAACAACCAAAACAACCTACAATAGATGGTTAAATAAACTGTGGTGGTATACCCATACAATGAAATGCTACTTATCAATAAAAAGGAGAATTACTGATATAAGCAACAACTTGGATGGATCTCCAGGGCATTACATTGAGTGGGAAAAAACAATCTCAAAAGATTCCAAACTATTACATTCTTGAAATGACAAAATTCATGTGATTAAAATAACAAGAAACTACACACACATTATAATAACAGTGTCAATATCCTGGGTTTGATATTGTGTTATAGTTATGTAAAATATGACCATTAGGGGAAATTGGGAATTGATCACACTGGACCTTTCTGTACTTACTATCTTTGAAACTTCTTCTGAATCTAAGTATTTCAAGATCAAAAGTTTAAGGGGGGGGGGGGGAGATAAACAACAACAGTAAAACTATACCCATAGGAAAAGAAAAAAAAATAAATTAGGTTCTGGCCCAAGAATACATGAATATCCTGAAATCCGCATCAAGAAAAGAAACGAAATAGCAATTTTTTCCAAATCTGACAATCCAAATGTTCAAATAACATCACCAATAACTTCTCTCAATTGCCATCTTAAAATGTGTGTGTGAAAATTGAGCCCTCAGTATCTGTAAGAGAATGGTTTCAGGATGCCCCCAAATACCAAGTACTTTATATAAAATGGCACAGTATTTGCATATACCCTACACACATCCTCCCATAGACTCTATTTATCTTTTGGCAAAGGGGATTGAACCCAGGGGTGCTTTACCATTGAGCTACATTCCCATACCCTCCCTTTTTTTAAATTTAAGACTCAATCTCACATCTCACTAAGCTGCTGAAGCTGACCTCAAACTTGCCATCCTCCTGCCTTAGCCTCCCAAGTGACTGGGATTACATGGGTATGCCACTACACCCAGCATTCCCATATACTTAAAATCATCTCTAGATTACTTATAACATCTAATGCAATATAAATGCTATGTAAATGACTGTTATATTGCATTGCTTAGAGAATCATGACCAAAAAGTCTGTACATGTGCAGGTTTTTTTTTTTTTTTTTCCCAATCAATGGTTGGCTGAATGCAGGATGTGGAACCCATGAATATGGAAGGGTATACCTACATCCATCAACATGTTAGAGCAGGATATGCAGGATGGGGCTATAGCCTATAAACCAACCAACTCCAGCCTCCTGTTTTTATAAATAAAATGTTATTGAAATAGACACAAACATATCAATAAAAAAAGAAACACTGTTGGTTTTAATTATTGGTTATTTTGCAACATCATCAAATATCAGAAAACACTATCACCTTATAAGCTACATTTCTCTTACTAGAGCACAAATAATTGTATTATTCCAAAATAAGTTTTCAAATCTACCAAAATATTAGACTTTGAGAGTCAAATTTCCCTTCTAGTATTCATTTTAACCAAATGAATTTGCAAAGTTTCAAACACACACACACACACACACACACACTCACACACTCGCACTCTCTTTCTCTCTCTCTGAAAGTACAGCTTAACTGCAGTTTCTTTTCATACCTTGGAAAGTATCAAATCGCCTAACCATCGCACACAATCAACATAATTCCTATGTATGTCTCTGGTAGAAAAGTCAGGAAAGTGGATTTTCTGGGAAATAAATGGCCTGAAGGAAAATAGAAATGTAAAAAGTTAAAAGAAAAAAATATATTAGAAATGACACTAGTTTTAATTTTTGAATTTATAAAACTCTTTTTTGTGGTATGGCCAGGGGCCTTTTGCATGCTGGCTAAGTGTTCTACTACTGAGCTACATCTGTAGCCTGACTTATAAAACTTTTAAAAATAAAATGTGACTATCAATTCCTCTGTTTCCAGACAACTTATATTTCAATCTGTTTACTGAAGAGTAAGTCTCCATTTTTCTTTCTCTATTTTCTTCCGTTATCAATTTTCAATCTTATTTTTGTCCAATGATATTTAAAAAATAAAATTGTACTACATATGACCCCAAATTAATCCATTTAATTCTGAGTATCCTAACCAATAAAAAATAAAGAGATCTGATGGCAGGGGTGAAATTTTCCCACAAAAGTACACTAAACTACTTATTTAATCCTTTAAAATTCAGCATTAACAGTCTATGAAAGTTAACATACTTAAGATAGCCATCTTTCTGGAAGCAATGAAACATCATCTCAAAGTCAGCTACAAATAAATTTACAGTCCTGCCTCAAGAAATAATTTCTGAAAAAGCCTTGCAGAAATCTGATAAAGACCTTTCCAAATAATTTCTATATTTAGGAAACTAAAATGTGACTCCATTTCTTCCCTTAAAGACACTTCCAAGAAGACAATGAATAAGATAAGCTGCTACCAATTCTGAAGTTACTGGTTTTAATACTACACCTAATATTTCTAATCTAGTAAATAGTTCAGTTTTGTGTGTTTTTGTTGTGCTACGTATAGAACCCAGAATTCATATATGCTAGGCAAGTACTTTACCAGTGACTGCTTCCCCAACCCCAAGAGCCGGTTTTTATACTGAAATAATTATAGAATTACACATCATGAATTAATTGTCTTAGTCAATTGACATGTTCTCTTCTTACATTTGCCCTCATATGTAAAAAGCATGTTGGGCTGTATTATCTGGTATAATGCTTCCAATTCAAATTCTGGGAATTTGTTAAAACATTCAAATGTTATTGATGATTGGACATAAATTTTTAACTGTTACACAATTACATTAAATGCCTTTAAGTCAAGTACATATTAAAAGTCTTATGATTAAACTCCTTCAAGGAGAAAACCAGCACAACTCAATATTATTTTCTGTAAACTAAGAAATATAATTTGTATTTATTTCAAAAATATACAAAATAATTTCAAAATACAAATTCAACACCATATTAGTCTGTGCTCTTTTAAAGTAGAATTCTGAAAGTTGTATTTATTCTTAAAGGTCACTAAGGTTTGATGAGTGTACTCAAATGTAGCTTACAAATTTAACTATTATTAATATAGTTTGCAAACCAGAAGATAACCTCTAGCTCTTTGCTTAAACAAAAAGGCAAAGTTAGTATATGTAAACATATGTTTAAAATGAAAGTGTTAATGACAGCCTAATGTAATGCTTAAAAAAGTTAGCTGCATTAAGAATTCAGGCATTTCCAAAACTGAGACATTTCAAAAACACAAGGAAGTTACAAAATTGCCCACCACGGGCTAGGGTTGTGGCTCACTGGTAAAGTGCTCGCCTAACATGCACGAGGCACTGGGTTCAATCCTCAGTACCACATAAATGTAAAATAAAGATATTGTGTCCACCTAAAACTTAAGAATAAATATTTAAAAAAAAAAAATTGCCCACCACACAGTATCATGGAACAAGACTTCTGAATTTAAATTTCCTCTATTTAATGAAGTGAGATTCATTAAAAAAAAAAAAGTTATATTATCATTATTCTTTTTAAATACATTCTATTATCTTGAATTAGAACTTACTGATGTGTCTTTTACTTTATTCTATTAATACTGTTAATATGTGGGGCTGGGGTTGTGGCTCAGTGGAACAGCACTTGCCTAGCATGCATAAGGCACTGTAGGTTAGATTCTCAGCACCACGTACAAATAAATAACAACATCTAAAAAATATTTTTTAAAAACTGTTACATGTGTAAATTTAAAAGGTTAAGTATATGCATAGCTAAATAAAAATCAGTAAAATATGCTACTAAATGAAGGCAAAAACAGTTCTAAAGGGATTGTAAAAACTGAGCCATAAGCATTAAAAATAAAAGGTTTCCATTTAAAAGGGGTGAATTTTATGGCAGATAAATTATACCTAAAGGTTATTAAAAGGCCTTCTAAACTTAGAGTTGGGGATTTATTGAACAATTCAGGGAAAAAGTAAAACACATTTATTCAACAGCACAATAAAGCATATTAACTGTTACCTGTTAGTTTTATTGGGGTTATAATCATAAGATTCCTTAATTGCATTCATCATTCTCTTTGAATTGATTCTCCAAAGTTTAAGGGAGTGATCCATACCACAGGACATTATTTTTTCACCCAAAAGGTCATAATCCTATATGTAAAACAGAAAAGTTTAAATTAAGTATAAAAATTACCATCACAAATTGTATTTGTCCAATTTTCACCTAACACAGTGAAAATTGTATTTCAAATCAAAACACTAACTCCATTTTGTTTTTCATCTATGTAATCCATAAATCACAGTTTACTACTTCCAAGATTTAAAGTTTTATTTGGTTTGTCACCAGAGTAAATGAGTTCTTATAATATGGAAGGCCAGAAAGTAAATTATGTGAATTTTACTTTTATTTATTCCATTATATTAAAGTATTCCCTTTGTTTGATTTTCAAGGTATATATTGAGTGCTGAGGTAAAATTATTATTTTATGACACAAAAAGCTGAAGTTTCATTGCTTTTCTTATCCAAATCCAATCAAGAAATTCAATTGATATCTGAATTTGAACCTATGAGTCCTTAAACAACTCAGATTTTATTTTATACTAGTAAATCAAAACATTTCAAAGTTATATTGGTGTTAGAATTAACTTTTTAAGTGAATAAAGGGAAAAAAACATGAGAGTTGGAAAAAAGTCACCTTAAACTTAGTGTGAGCACAATAAAACGCTTTCTAAAAAGTAGACAACTTACTTCAAAGAAAAAGGGAAAATATAGTTTTTCATTTTCTGCAGTACTCTGGATTGGACCCAGAAGCCCCCTATCACTGAGCCATACACCCAGTCCTTTTAATTTTGAGACAGGTTCTAAGTTGCCGAGGATGGCCTTGAACCAGCAATCCCATCTCAGCCTCCTTAGTTGCTGGGATTATAGGTGTGCACTACAGTGCCAAACAAGAAAATGTTTCTTAACTAGTGTAATGTGTTCCTTCAGTAATTAAGAAACAGGAAAAAGAAAAAGGTTACCTTTTTTGGGGTGATTTTAGATTAAAGATAGAAAGGAATATATTCATATTATTCTTACATGAGAATCTAGGCACTGGTAAGATAAACTACAGGTAATTTTAAAAAACAAACACCAAAAAAACTCTTGCTCTATTCCTTCACCAGTAAGATTAAAATCTTACATGTTCAATAAATAAAATGCCTGCCTGGCAGGCTGTATGAAACAAACATATGCTTTCTATTAAGAACAGAGTTCCATGGGGATTGTTCACAGCTTATAAACCTGAACTTTACTGTCCTATAGCTTTCAACTTACAGCACTTAGGACTTCATCTCTGTGCCCTTCTACACCTCCAAATATTGCCACCAGAGTGTCCGTTTGGATATTCCATAATCGTAAAGCATGATCTAGTGTAAACATACAAAAAATTAAGATGAACTTTTATCATTCATTTACTGTGAACTTTTTCAGCACCTCCTTAGAGAAGCAAACACTATAAAAGTTTAGACTTAAGTTACACACAGTAAAGACTAATAATGAAATCCATATTATATAGCAACTTAAAATATTTATAACATTTATAGTATTAACTAGACAAATTTTTAAATTATGTAATCTTAAAAATATTTTAAGCTTATTTATGTCAAATAAGTTTCTTTAAATAATATCCTAATTTGATGGAGAGATACTTTTGAGATTAAAACAGAGATTTAACATAATTTTATACTACACCACAGAATAAGGTACTAGCTCTTCCCTTCACCACACTCAATATTAACAAATCAAAAGGGATTGAACAGATTTATAAGATTTCTACAGAAAGCCAAAAATGACTGAAAACAATATGCATTGTAACACGATTATATAGTATGACAGTTTTCCTTTGAAAATTACATAACTGTAATTTGAACAACTTCTTTTATTTCATTTTTTTGCAGCCCTGAGTACCAAACCCAGGGCCTTGCGTATACTAGGCCAGCCCTCTATCACTGAAATATACTACCTCCTGCCCCGTCCCAACTTATTCTATTAAACAATAAAGAATGTATAGCAAGCACCAGTGAAACTCCACATCATGTACAACCACAAGATGGGATTCTAATTAGAGAAGTTACACTCCATGTATGTATAATGTCAAAATGCATTCTACTGTCATGTATATATAAAAAGTTTTAAAAATATATAGCAAAAGACATGCCACGTAGAGCTTGAAATATAACAATACTCATATTGTAAATGAGTATTAACATACTATATAATTACCACCAGGAGGCAATAGTACATTGAGAAATTAACATTGCTATAAAACTGATTTCTTGATTCCAATCATGTACAAGTTTTTGAGTATACAAATGTTTTTCACTAGTACAAGTATGTGCACATGCACAAGCAAACCCACACCCCTACCTACAATTCATAATTTTATGTTTAATGTTAAGGACCTGCTAGCTTATTTTACAAAATGGTTACATTTTACATTCCAACCAGCAATGTTTGATCATGTTATAATTTCTCCACATCTCAATCAATACCTATCTGCCTTTTTTATTATAGCTACCCTAACTATCTGTGAAATGGTTCTCATTGTGCTTTTGATTTCAATTTCCTTAGTGATTAATAATGGTGAACATCTTTTAATCTGTTTATTGGTCATTTGTGTGTGTTTTCTGGAGACATGTTTATTTGGAACTTTTGTCCATTTTTAACTGGGTTGTCTATTTATTGTTGAGCTGTAAGAGCTCATATGCTCATGACATATATTTTCTCCCATTCATAGGTTGTTTTTTCACTTTCTTGATGGCATCATTTATAGTAAAATTTCTACTCAGCTTGAAAAGGTTGTATGCTTTTTTTTTAAAAGCTATATAGATGAACACGATGCCATTATTTTGTTTACTTATTTTATGAGGTACTGAGGATCCAATCCAGTGCCTCACATGTGCTGTGCAAGCACTCTACTACTGAGCCACAACCTCAGCCCAAGGCTGTATGCTTTTTAAAAACATTCTTGCTCATACAATAGGGAAAGACCAGGGTTAAAAATTGTGATATTTAAACGAGGAGAAGAATTAGTCTACTCAGCTGTACAGGAATATTTGAGCTCAATTACTGTCACCAGGGGACAAAAATAACATCTTTTCCTAGTGGTAATTTTCTTTTTATTTTTTTAATATAGAGGATTGAACTCAGGGGTGGTTAACCACTGAGACAAATCCCCATCCCTTTTTTATATTTCAAGACAGGGTCTTGCTGAATTGCTTATATATTAATATTGCTGTAAAACAGCTAAATTGCTGAGGCTGGCTTTGAACTCATGATCCTCTTGCCTCACTCAGACTACTGAGCTGCTGGGATTACAGACTTACACCACCATGCCTGACCTGGTCGTAGTCATTTTAACTTCAGCCTCAATATTTACAGAAAAAAATTGACACAATTTTCATATGGGAGTTTTTTTGTTTCTGGGGAATCAACCCCACAGCATTACACATGCTAGGCATGCCCTAATGTTAGGTAGTAGCCACCAATGAGCAGTGAAATGCATGGCAAGGTCACAAGTGTTCCTTAAATTACTTTAGGTCCTTCTTTAAACTATTTCAAAGTAGATGAGAAAGAAAAGTGTGGTAGTTAATTTGCAGATAATAAACAGAAGCAAAGGAGCTAATGGGAAATATGTCAAAAGAAAGGATTAATGGGACTTGACAGGGTCCATTGATGGTGATGTGAAGCTAGGAATTATGGCTATAGGTGTCTTCATCTGTCTGGGAAGAAAGTTTCCTTTAGTAAAATAGGCGCACTAAGGTAACTTCTGACCAGCTACTGACCCCAGTGCCCATATCAACATGGGATTGACTTGTAGATGAAGCCCCCCTAAATAGGATGGCCACCATGACAGTTCCAGAGATGAGCAACTAAGATCAAAAACTCCACTGCCTTGGGACTGGGGATGTAGCTCAGTTGGTAGAGTGCTTGCCTTGCATGCACAAGGCCCTGGGTTAAATCCCCAGCAACACACACACACACAAAAAAAAAAAAAAAAAAAAAAAAACCCTCCACTACCTAAAGAAGTTGAACACCTGATTGGCAAAGAGTACAGAGTGGTCTCTAATTCTGGTAAACATCAAACACTAATAAATTTGTAGACAACATTGTCTCCTTTTATCATTCTCTGCTCAGATGCCCCAGTGTCTCATTGTAAGAGTGCTCTCTGCTTTAATTTTCACTTTGCTTATTTATTTACTTTAATTTCACCTACTTTCTCTTTAAAGTCCTCTTGAATAGCTTTTGGTGTCTGATTTTAAATTTTGTTATGTCAGAACACAAGAACTGAGATTTGGAGTTTCAACTCGCTGCTTTCCTATAACACTATCACTGAGCTACATTCCCAGTCCAAGTTTTAATTTGAGGACTCAAATGCCTAAGAAAAAACTTGACTAGAATAAGTAGAAGCATAAAAGAAGGCAATGAAAAATAGAAACAACACAACCTAATTCATTTTGGAAAGCTCAGAAATAATTTAGAATGATTAAGTGGCCTGTTTAGACCCAGAATAAACTTATAATGTCAGCATAAGCATAAGAGCAATACAAAGCTTTAGCTTCATAGAAAATATTCTTAAAAGTTTATGCTGGAGTAATAAGAATTTTATGGAATTCTACAAAGAATCCTTTATACAACAGTCTTCGAAAATTAAAAAAAAACAGTGATTGTCCACTTCATTGTCAGTATCAATTATTTTATTAAAGTCTGATGTCAATGCCATAAGTACATTTCACCGTTCCTTTCTTTAATTCTTGGTTTGTGAAATACTAACGTAGCCTAAGATTTTATAAAAATTCATTGTTACAGAATGATCCCGCAGATAGCATAGGTTTTAAACGGGCCATTAAACCTGCTGGTGACCCTCTCCACCTTGGCCCATTCATCTGGATGGACACGTGGTCCTTGGCACCAATGATGCAGCTACTGGTGAAGCATTTCTGTGGCATGTACAGGTCCACGAACTCACCAGCATCATCCTGCACGTTGAAGCGCACTAGCTGCCTCCACCACAAGTGTGAGCGCAGAAAGGAAGTGGCCTACTCTTTAAAATTGTTATTTCCGAAGAAATAAGACTAAAGAAACATTTGCTTCTCTTACCTTTACTTACTGACAGGAGAAGATTTGGATCTCTTGGGTGGAATTTCAGCTCATTGATGGCATTTCCATGGCCAACATAGTGCTACAATAAATTTAAAATATTTCAAATTTCATATCTCGAAAATCAGTAAATTTTTTTATAAGTCTTAAGAAAATGGAAAAATAGTTTTACTCATTAAAGTAGTGGTTTTCAACCTTAGCTACAAATTAAAATTGTCCTGCAGACTGAAGGGGGAAAAAGATGCTCAAGTCTCACTTGAAGATGTTCTGATAGGACTGGATTAGCAAAGACTCATTTAAAAGATCCTTAGGTAATTTAATGTGCCCCCAGGGTTAAAAACAGTTAATTAAACCAGTCTCCATATCATCTTCCTAGGCTTTACCATTCAGTTAATCACAAGGTATCCTTCAATCTACAACTCCCAGTTTGGGTGTCTTGCAAAACCTGGTATTTGTCCATTGAAAGCCTCTCAAAAGAAAGGCAAGGAGGGAAATTATTTTAAAAGAAAAGCACTACAAGCCTGGTGGTGGCATACCCCTGTAATCCCAGTGATTTGGGAGGCAGGAGGATAGCAAGTTCAGAGGCCAGACTCAGCAACTTTGTTAGGCCCTAAGCAATTTGACAAGACCCTGTCTCAAAATAAAGCATAAAAAGCAATGGGATGTAGCTCAGGGATGTCACCCCTAGGTTTAATCTCTGCCAAAGAAGAAAAGAAAGAAAGCATTACAAATATTAACATTTTTCCCACTTATTCCTCAATTTAATTACACAACTTTCACAAAGGACTCAAAAAGATTTGTCTAAAGAAAGCAATAAACAATGCACAAATTGTAAATTTTGCAGTCACTGATTAGATTAATTTTACATTGAAAACAGTATGTTTTCACCAATGTACATTCAAAATATGCAATTTAGCCAAAAAACCCACCTTTATACATTGCATTGTTATAGGATTAATTATCCTTATTATGCCTCTCGATCCAGCTACCGCCAGCAAAGGATGGCTTGTATTGCTATCATAGGTCCATGCACAAGTGTAAAAGTTTTCATCAGCCTAAAAAATGCCACAGTTAAGAAATATATTTTTGAAATAAATGTTAATAATTGTAATATGTAGAATCCTCTCAAAACACTGCTGTATTTTTTTTTTTTTGCAGGGGGAGGGGAGGGTGTACCAGGGATTGAACTCAGGGGCACTCAACCACTGAGCCACATCCCCAGCCCTATTTAGTATTTTGTGATAATGGAAAGAAGTATTGCTAGTTGGGGAAGATCTCACACAGAAAAAGTGGAAAGTGGAATATTTAGAGAGACAGGGTCTCATTGAGTTGCTTAGCGCCTCTCCATCGCTGAGGCTGTCTTTGAACTCGGGATCCTCCTGCCTCATCCTCCCGAGCTGCTGGGATTATAGGCATGCGCCACTGAGCCCGGCAAAACCGGTATAGTTTTTGACATATAAGTTCTGATTTTTTATTATACAACCAAATTTATAAAATGGTAATTTTAGGTCTAAAATCCATGCCAAATGAGTAAACAAAACTAGTCCCTTCACTCAACTGTATTTATTATTTAGCTGTTTGTATAACTCTGTTCTTATAGTGTCACTGTAGTGCCAAAACAGCTACAGACAAAATGTTAACAAGTGGGCATGGTTGTGTACCAATAAAATTTTATTTACAAAACTAGGCCAAGCTGTAAGCTCTACTTTGCTGACCCTCTATCTTGATAGTTCTGTCCATCTCCAAATAACAATAAATATTCCACTTTCCACTTTTTCTGTGTGAGATCTTCCCCAACTAGCAATACTTCTTTCCATTATCACATAGAGAAGACTGTCTTTATCTTGTTTGCTTGGTTTTTCAAATGGATCTGGAAGAAGCTTTTACTGCTCTACCTAATCCTCTGCCTTTTAAATTTTCCTTTTATTCGATAACTCGTGTTTTGTAATATTTTATTTCCTAAGCAGAGCATGTTATTTTTTCCATCTAAGCTTTTGTTGATCCAATACTTGGAATGACTGACAGTTACAGCTTCTGATCAACTCAAGTTCATTATTAAAACTATGCTGAAATTTAAAAATTCTAGGCAAAGTCAAAGAAACAAGAAGTTTTAGCTAGTCCTAGTCTCAGCTAATATTTTCTATTACCAGATTTTTAACATTCCTTTCTCCAGTCTGATTCTGAGGATCAGGAAAATCAGATACCAAGATTCTATTGGGTGACAATGACAGTGAAGGAATAACATTGGCTAAAGAAAGGACAGTAACTTGGGGCTGGGACTGGGGCTCAGCAGTAGCACATTTGTCAGGCATGTGTGAGGCACTGGGTTCGATTCTCAGCACTGCATATAAACAAATTTTTTTTAAAAGGCCTATCAACAACTAAAAAAATAAATTTAATTAAAAAAAAGAAAGGACAGTAATTTAAGGGAATTAATTTAGAAAAGTTTTGGTTTATTTATTGAAAATAAATGTCTTTGACCAAAGATACTAAAACCCAGGAAAGGATACATCAGCATCCACATAAGACTGCAATAACCGGATTTCACCTTGTGAATGACATTCATATAATGTAACCTAATGAAAACAAAAATAAAGTAAATTTCATCTCAAATACAGAAACACACTCTTTAGCTTCTAAACATTCTAATCACAATATTATCTTAAAGACTCTACAGAAACTATTGCCCTAAAAATAGCTCCTTTAAACTTATAAATTTATGAAAATCATTATAAAGCCTAACACGTTTTACATAATATCCAGAGTATAAAATATTCTAGTAATGTTTCTATTTACTAATTTATAAATTATATTTATAATTTTATAATATTTTACAAATATTTTATTTCCCATCATTTAAATGTATTCTTCATCCTTATAATTGCACCAACCTCTCAAAGTGAATAAAGTTGAACACCCAAAGTAATTGTGGTTTATCATCCTTTATTTAAATCCATAACAAAAGTCTTTGGCACCATAAAGAAATAACAAATATTCAGAAACAGATACATTTACCATGATTAAAGAGTATACAATGTATACATGTACCAACACATCAGCTGATACCCAATAAATATGTATAATTTTTGTGCTTTTTTGTATCAGTTAAAAAAAATTTTAAAAAGACTTTATGTAGTTATAGGCAGTTATTAACATAAAAAAGTCTACAATTTGCTAACAATGAATTGCTTTTCCTTGTATGGTAGCCCTTTTCATTTGATTCATATTCCAAAATTTAAAATATAGCAATATATACAACTTTAAAAATTTTTATAAAATTTGTTCCATTTTTCTTTTTTTTTTTTGAGTTTTAAAAATAAAATTTATTTATTTATTTTTTTAAATTTTTTATTGTTGGTTGTTCAAAACATTACATAGTTCTTGATATATCATATTTCACAATTTGATTCAAGTGGGTTATGAGCTCCCATTTTTACCCCATATACAGATTGCAGAATCACATCAGTTACACATCCATTGATTTACATATTGCCATACTAGTGTCTGTTGTGTTCTGCTGCCTTTCCTATCCTCTACTATCCCCCCTCCCCTCCCCTCCCCTCTTCTCTCTCTGCCCCCTCTACTGTCATTCATTTGTCCCCCTTGTATTATTTTTCCCATTTTTCTTATACCTTAGTCACATTAGCAAAAATCTATTAAAATTTAATAGTAGCATATACTATGAAGATCCTATACATCATTTACCACTATTAAATTCATAAAATAATCTCCCCTAGATCATAATCTAAAAACTAATCTTCATGTGGTTGTTAACTATATCTTAAAAGATAATTGTTTTCCCTTTCTTCTTTTAAAAAAATCCTAATGGCAGGACTTTTTAGAATTCAATAAACTATATATAATACACTTCAATGTCATTTTAAATGATTCTTTTTCTTAGAAAGCTTAGAACACTGCAATTAGCATACTTGAGCAGAAATTATACCAATTCTACTACTATCATGGCCAAGTTGAAGAATTATAATGGTAGGTTTATGGGGATATCTTAAAAGTGGATTCAAATTTAATTAATGGGTTCAAGCCAGTTAGAAAATCTTTCTTGAAACTACACTTTTCCTCTGATTGCTATTTTCAAAGAGTATGAGAACTAAACAACTATAGGAAAACTACATATCATACAACCTATGTTTGGCTGAACCCTAAGAAAAGCTGTTATCCCATGTTATCAACTTCACTAGTAACTTTCAAGTACTTTTAAAAAATTTTTTAGATGTAGGTGGACACAATACCTTTATTTTATTTATTTGTATGTGGTGCTGAGAATCGAACCCAGGGCCTTGCACATGCAAGGCGAGTGCTCTACCACTGAGCCACAACCCCAGCCTGAGCACCAGAGTCTTAATGTAATTAAAACTTCCTCAAGTCAAAATTTATTTTTTAGAAAAAAAGAACTGGAAGGACTCAGCCCAGAATGGCTGATGTTTGAAGAATACTGAACAGACAATTTCCCTGTTATCAAGTTAACTTACTAAAACAAAAAATATTAATACAAGGAATCAAAAATATAGAAAACAAGTAGTGCACATTAAAAATTACAACTCTCAATGAATTTTAACACAATTACTAAAAACACATAAGATGTCATTTTACTCAATTAAATGACTAATGAACATCTCAGATTCATTTCTTTCCTTTTTTGAGCTAAGGGTAGATAGAGTAAGTGACTTGTCAACAGTCCATATCCAATTAGTCTATTTTCTTCCTATTTCTTTTTCTGAACACATCAATCTATTTCTATGCTATTCATCTTAATTCCCACCACAGCATTAATGGATAACCAAAATGTTAGCTACTTATAGACTTAAAGAGGAAAATTTTTCCTTGAGATGATTTCAATTTTTAAAAGAAAACCTGTGAGGACTCCCTGGAAATTCTAGTTAGAAATGAATAGAATGAGTACATCTTTGCAACCCAGCTAATTAATTTAGCCCCTTATTTAATTAAAACGTTAGAGGATGCGGCTGTAGCTCAGTGGCAAAGCACATGCTTGGCATATGTGAGGCACTGAGTTTGATCCTTAGCACCACATAAAATAAAGGCATTCTGCCCATCTACAACTATTAAAAAAAAAAAAAAATGTTGTTGATGCCATGGTGTGTGCCTATAATCCCAGCAGCTTGGGAGGCTGAGGCAGGAGGATTGCAAGTTCAAAGCCAGCCTCAGCAAAAGTGAGGCACTAAGCAACTCAGTGAGATTCTGTCTCTAAATAAAATACAAAATGGGGCTGGGGATGTGGCTCAGTGGTCAAACGCCCCTGAGTTCAATCCACAGTACTTAAAAAAAAAAAAAAAAAAAAAGTTAAGTGATGGTTTATGTTAAAATGTGCCAGCATTGCTCTTTTCACCCATTTCTCTCAATTTAAGATAACTGGCTTTCTTAAAAGCAAACTCAATGGTAAAGTATTGCATAGCATGCTCAACGCTCTGAGCTGGATCCCTAGCACCACAAAATAAATTAGTAAGAAAATAAATAGCAAACTCAGATATTTACTGCAAATAATTAAAACACTTGCAAAACTGTTATTTAAATCCACTGGCTTTATGCTTTCATTTATAGAGCAATTAATTATTTTTTTTTTTAAATCACAAATTTCTCATCCAATTCAATTCATAAATAACAAAATAACTTTTTAAAAAAAGAGAAAAGTAGTCAAATGTGGTAGCATAGGTCTATAAATTCCACATACTCCACAGGCTGAGGCAGGAGGACCAAAAGTCTGAGGCCTGCCTAGGCAACTTAGCAAGACACTGTCTCAAAATTTTAAAACAGAGCTGAAGACATAGTGCAGCAATAGAGTACTTGCCTAGCATGCGTGAGGCCCTGGTTTCAATCCCCAGCACCACATCACACACACATACAAATCCCCACACCACACATACAAATGCACATGCACACATGGACACACACACACACAGCAAGAGAGAAGTTAGTTCTTTCAATCACCCAAAATATTTATGAAGAAATATAAAACCTGTTTGATGACCTACTTTAGTAATAAATGTATTTTCCAATAATAAATATTAGTTTTAAATTGACAATTTCTAGAAAGTTTTAGTTCAAAATCATTCATTCTATAATAACAAATCCAATAATCAAGCTGAGGGCCAAAAAGACCCCATAACACTCACTCTGTTGCTTCCTACAGTTGCAAAGACTAATGGATCTCCTTCTTTACTGTGCCAGTTAAATTGAACTCCAAACAATGGTTGGTTATGATCTTCCTATAAAATAATCATGAAATAAAAATTCAACAGTGTCTCTTAGAAATAAAAAAAGATAGTGAACTAACCTTTACCCTTTCTCTAAAATATAATTTGTTATTTTTGTGAATCATACATAAGCTGACTTTTGACGATAAATTAAAAAATCTTGACTAGACCAGTTTTCACATCTTTATATACTGTATATGATAAAATTTTATAACAATCAAAGACTTTGATCACTGCCTCAGTAACATTTATTTAGGTTACAATTATTTGTCTATAAAAAAACTTTGATATGTACCTTTCATTTTCTTTAACTCGAATCGTTTTTTCCCGAATCACAATACATTCGGTAAATTTTGATAAACATATTTAACACATTGGGTCATGAGGATAAATTTATTTTTCCAAAAGAGGAAACCAACAAATGGCTTTATAGAGATAATGTAACTTTTTGGCAATCACTAAATTTTACTAGGCTTAAATTTTCCTTTGTAAAGTGAAACATTATCAAAACTCTATTTAAATTACTGCTTTCTATTAACTCCATATAAACAATTTTAAATAATTTTGAATTTGGGTCTTTAAAGAAAAACATTCCAGGAATTTTATAATGAAAAAGAATACCTGAAGAGTGAGGGCCGTGGGAGTAAATGGACTATACCTTCAGAGACATACAAACAGATAGATCATAAGATTACTCACTTTTGTTTACATGGTTATTTTTCAGTTTTAGGACTTTACTGGCAATCTCCTGGCATTTAACACTAAATTTCAAGTTTACTGGAAGGTACTGTTTTCACTTTAAAATTTAACAACTTTCATTTTCTTATCATTTGAAAAGCCACAGCTTTAGGCTTTTGAATTATTTAAAGGCAGTTAAAAATATCTTCCAGATATAGTAACTAACTCTTAAGCTACTAAAATATTATCGTAATATTTTAACAGACACTTTTTTGAGAGGCTGAGATTAATTTCTCTTTTACACACTAAGCACTTAATTTTTGCTACAGACAGGAAGACCTCATGTAGCCACAGCTTCTTAAGCTCTCCTAAGCCTTTACCTAAAAGTATAATTAGCTATCTACATTTAAACACATATATATGAAGTAACATAATGTTTATTTTCCTTCAGGAAAAATAACTTTAAACTTAAAAAATAAAAAACACAAAGTGGAAATACATCAGAAAACATTTAAAATAAACATCAGTAATCCTTTTTATAAAGTAAATGTTACTGAGGCAGTAATTTAAATAACCCTAAACTCTTATTTTCCCCAAATATTGACTACTGAAAAGTTTTTAAAATTGCACACCTTTTCCTTTTAAGACAAATATAAATAAAGCAAAGGACAAAAAGATTAAAAAAAAAAAAAAAACTGTACAAAGTAAGACGTCTGTTTCAATTTATACTTCTTAGTTAATGGGTAACATTCAGCTCTTTTTAATAACTGGTGCCAGAAGTAGCTCATGTTTTTTAAGGTTTACCAGAACATAAAGAGTTACATTTCCTAAAATATTTTATTTGAATTAACAAACAATAAAGCAAAACCACCTGCAATACTCAGTATTACACATTTAAATTAAAATAAAAAACAAAGCCAAAAAGCTAAATGTGGGAGATTGTATTATGCTATTTGAACCTCAAATAAAAAAAAAAACTTAAAAACCCTCTAACTTTAAAATATTTTAAACTTAAAAGAGTATCTTGAATATAAAATGTATGCCATTGAGAAATAATTCTAAAGCCTAACATTCAGCCCCAAAAATCTGTCTTTCTGAACATACCTTGAGACTGTTTACACATTTGAAAGAATATTTGCATTTCTTCGACTTCCATTTTCCCTTTCCCCAACTTTTCCTTCCAGGTGCATTTGGTGTATTTGTAGGTGTATCAGGGCGTTCAGTGTTTGTACCACTTTCTATACTGACAGCATCATCCTATAAACAGTAAATTAAGAAAAATTACATGAGACAGTGATATTTTCAGGCAAGTGACTTTATACTGGAAAGATCTAATGGACCTAAAAGTCTGCAAAAAAAAAAAAAAAAGAAAGAAAGAAAAAATGTATTTCTGTCTTCAAATAAGGATACAAAACATCAGAATTTTTGTAGGTATTTTTATATTTCAGCAAAAATGAAAACAAAATACTAATCAGATTGATAATGGAAAAGTAATATTGCCTTTACATAATAAGGTACTGACCTACACCAGCTACTTTAATGCATGGGACCATTTAATCTTTAGGGCACTTGTTAGATAAGGAGGTGTTGAGAAAGCCTAACTGTTCTCATTAGTTAGGGTTGCTGGGATTCCACCCTAAAACTGTGACTACTAAATCTGACTGATCTACATGTCTTTATAATTTCCTTGCTTGTTACTCAGTTTGGAGCATGGAGGTAGGTGGCCATTTGAGGCCAAAGTGTTAATGCTTCCACTTTGATGTAGTTTTTACAAGTCCCGATATTCATATGCTGTATATTGACAACAAACTATTCAGAATTTAAAGTCTCAATGGCTTCAAATGGCTATTTGTAAATAAAATGTGCCTCATAGTCCTAACATAATCAGAACTCTGAAGACAATAGTTAAAAGTAAAATCCTTCCAAATACAGAAATGAATGCAGAAATCCTAAAAATTCTTCTAATTTATTTCTTATCTCTGGTACAGAAGACATACTAAAGGCCCTTTAATCTCAAGAGAATTTCACTACCTTCTTGGATTCCAATGTCTCCTTAGGAATAAGATGATTTATTTACATCTATGACCCTAAATTCATTCAAGGGAAAGTTTGTTTTGTTTTGTTTTGATCTTTCTTTCTTCAAGTGCCTACTAACATCTGCTAGAATAGTCTAAAAAACATTGCCTTTAGGGTCTATTTCTAAATTACTGCTTCCTAAAGCTGGTTTATATTACAGAAGGTTAAAATTAACTGAAGTATCAAAAGGCATAGTAAAAAAAAATCATATTAACTCACTTGAAAATAACAATATATTTCCTGGGGATTTCAAACTTCATATGACTCCAAAATGAAATGCATTTTTAAAAAATACCCTATTCTGGAAAATACTAATTATCTAGCATAAAAAAAATGGATGGAGACAGGTGGCACAAAGTGCTCAACAAATATTTGAACTGTAATTTAATGTGAGTGCAATTAAACATTATGGAAATAGAAAATGTAAAATTTTAAAGTTGGGTTCCTAGCTTGAAATGTTTTTTATGTCTGTCCTATTCTCCCCACTTGTCAGTTGTATTTACATAGTTAAAAATCCAGGATAGAAAAATGTATCAATGAAAAACCATGCTTATAGTTCCAAATTATCAGATTACAGTCTTCCTCACTGTCTTTTAAGTATTTTTGCAATTCTTTTTAAATTATAGATAACTGCTAGACATGCAAATTTTGTCACCACAGAATAAATTCAGTATAATTCCCTTTCCATTAGTGTAAAAAATATTTTCTCTCCATTTGCAATTCATCCCTTCATTTCTTTATTTTATATAAATTTGTACTGTTTGGACTTTTTTGGTTTACAAGTTATAACATTTACCTAATTTCCTTCAAGTGAGTAAAATAAAAATATTAACCATGTTCACACACTTTTTTCTGAAAAATTACCTTTTAACAGAAGAGAAATGAAAGAAAACGAACAAACTCTGGAGTTGGGAATGTGGCTTAGTGGTAGAGTGCTTGCCTAGCATGCATGAGGCCCTGGGTTCAACACCCAGCACCACAGAACAAAATAACACAACTTCTTTTTATTTTGGCTAAACACTGAGCCATTAGTCAAGAGGCCATACAAAAACATTGTCACACTGCATATTTTATCTCTTGACTGCTTAATTTACCCATCTATCTCCTCCAAAGGCAAGATGGAATTAAACAGAAACAAAATGCTTTCATTTTGTCTTTAAATTAAAATAAAATCTTTGTTTAATATGTACTCAGGCTGACTCCCACCCTACTCCTTCCTCAAAGTGCAGAATGACAATGCCCAACAAGAAAACAGACTCTGGAATAATAATTTGTCCCTTAATCTTGTCCCATTACTCTAGCAAAGGGCAAGCCTCCAGATTAGGCCTTCCGGTATCGTTAACCACAATAACCATTAATAATCTTTCAGACACTAACTACTTTACAGTCATCTGATCTTAAAAAGTTTGATAAAATGACAGAAAATATATACAATAAATCTCAAATATGTTCTTCAATTCTTTTAATAACTTTTTAAAGAGTGTTAGCTGCTCAGGTTACCTAACTCCAACTCAAAAACACTTTCTTCCCCCACCTGCTTTTGGTCTTGTTATTATTCCCTCCCTATAGAGTAAAACCCTGTCCTTGTTAGTTTTTCTGGAACTTATTTTTATAAAATGTTCTCTACTCTGTGTTGTATGGAATTCAGAAGGTCTGTGAATTCAAGCAGGGGAAAAAATTACATCTTAATTTCCACCACTTTGAAATTTTACACTTCCTTCTGTTATAATGGAGGTAATATAGATGCCAATGTTAGCATAGTTATGACTCTGTCACTAATAGAAATTAGATATTTCTTTTTTTAATATTTATTTTTTAGTTGTTTTTTTAAGGTGGACACAATATCTTTATTTTACATTTACATGGTGCTGAGGCTCAAATCCAGTGCCTCACCCATGGAGGCGAGTAAATACCCTACCACTGAGCCACAACCCCAGCCCGGAAATTAGATATTTCTATATCACACTGTTAAAGTTAAGTTAAACACTTTTGGTCCCATCCAAAATGCATAGGACCAAAAGTGTTTCAGATTTTAGAATATTTGTATATACTTTACCATTTGAACATTCCTAACCCAAAAATGTTAAAAGTTCCAAAATTCTAAACATTTTGAGTGCCAAAAACAAATTTCAACTCAAAAAACCCATTCTTCCCCTACCTGCTTTTGACCTTATCATTATTCCCTTCCTCTAGAGTAAAATTACTACCCTCGTTTGTTTTTCTGCATTTCAGATTTTGCATTTTCAGATCAGGAATGCCAACCTGTATTACAGTTGCTATGGATCTTGAAAAATAAGCCTGTCAATACCCTCAAATCCAATGCTATATTCTGTTGTTAAAAGAAATATATATTATTAAATCTGATCCCACACCCCCCAATCCCATGGAACCCAGGGCCTCCCACATGCTAGGCAAGTGCTCTACAACTGAGCTATCCCCCTGGTCCTAAAAAAATATATTATACAATTTTATAATTGATCATGTTTTGTAACCCCATATACTGTATTTCGTACATTTAAAAATGTTATTTTGGGAAGACTCCACAGGCTTCATTGAGGGGTCCAAGCATAAACACCAAAAAAAAGTTTAAAATCTCTGTCCCCTATTTGGAGGAAACAAAACAAAAAGCTAATCCAATCATTTGGTTTTGAACTGCTTCAGAAGGTACCAAAGAATATATTCCCTTCAGGGGTCTACAAAAAAGAAAATAAGCTTTCACTTTATTTTGTCCCCTGAATTTTTCCTCACTCTAAGCAGGTTTCACATTTTCATTATATTTTGCCCGATTATTAAGCATATGAAAGGGCCAGAAATATAACTCTGTATGATCACAAAATAAGTAACGGTAATTATTATAAATAATTAACAAACATTTGTGTACTATTTATTATGGGAGAGATACTCCTTAACCACTTTACTTATATTACCTCATTTAATCCTCACACTCCGTTTAACCTTTATCTAAATAAATCTGTCTTTACCACGGTTGCCTAAAATCTTCCAGGTCGTTCCCTTTACAAACTGCCAAAGGAGAAACTACCCCCACCCATACCTAACTCAAACTTGGTTCCCCTCCTAGTCAGAAGAAGACCCTCTCAATTATGCCTTTACAGAAAAGGCGACACTCGGGCACACCCCACCTCCACGGACAGGGCAGAGGCAGCCACAAGATCTCCTTTAATAAAGTCATCTAAACCCCTATGTCAAAGATCTATACTTTCCATCCTGGAGTTTCTATTGGTATCTAAGGGTGGCACAGACCCTAAACTCCTTGAAAGGGGTGCCTAACAGACTCAGCCTCTTCCTTTCAACTCTTAGGAAAATCTCTAACATGCCTTTTAAACCTACATGAATCTCAGATCCGGAATCTTCCCTATATCCCCCAAAGACTCAAACACTTCTGCATCACATGTAAAAGGAACTCAAAAGAGACCTCTCAGACCCCTGTAACCATTTAAATCCCTCTCCTTCACCAAGTTTCTGCCCGTTCTCAGCCCCAGCTCAAAATCCCCCCAGAGACAAGTTCAATTTTCTCCAGCACGCCCGCGTTTTCCCGAGTACAGGGTGACACCTCTCCCTCCCCCCACAGTCGCCCGCCCGCCCCCGCTCCTACAGTTTTAAAAGAACTTAAAACTTCTACTCCGGAGTCGCGTGACTGCTAGGGGCTGCACTCACATTCTCATCTCCAGAGAGATCCGGGTTGCTGTTCTCGTCGCTACTCAGCTTCTGTTTCTTGGCCGAAGGCATGTCGGTTCCCGCCGGCGCTGTCGACACTTCCCTCTCGGACATATTCCTCCGCCTCCCTCCAGGTTCCTGCCGCCTCGGGCGGGGCCTCCGCCACACCGCCGTCAAGCAAGCCCGGCCCGAGCTTGCCGCAAAGTTGCCACTGCCGCCGCCACCTCCACCGCTCCCCCCACTGTCGCAAATCGCGCCCAGCCGCCGAGGCGGGCGTGCGTGCGACCCCGCCACACTGCTGAAAAAGGGGCGCGCGCGCGCGCCCTCCTGCGCGGCTTCCTGGCTTCTTCCCTTTACCCACTCCCGTCTTGCTGTTTTCCCGCCGCCCTCCCGGCAGATTGCACGAAGACGTATGATCCGTTGGTTTAAGAGGGCAGTATTTCGTAGGTCCCCTTTCCCCACCACCGCCTCGAAAAGAAGAGGCGGAACTCAAAGGGATGTTCCCTCACCCCTTTCTTCCTTCCAAAGACGTTTCAGCCGCAATTGGCTCAATCCTTCGATCTCCGACCGGCTGCAAGGCAGCGAAAGTCTGTGGAATGGACTAGACCACCTATGTCCCAGAGAAGGGGAAGGAATACAATAAGTCACCTATTGCTTTACCTGTGTATTCCAAGTGTCCTTAATATTGAACTTGAAGGATAATGTTTTCCCTAAATCATGGAAGCGTGGACACCCTACTTTTCGCTTGAGGACAGAAATCGAAAAACTGTACACGGTTTCCGAATCGCCACCCCTATCAAGCAAATGGAAGGCACTCGCCAGAAGATGCGCATGCGCCCAGGCGTATTCTCGCGCTGGGTTGTCGGGAGCCACCTCCTCCAAGCCCCTCCTCTTTTCGAATTCTTGTTTGCTGAACCAGGTAGTCTGTCGGGTGTTCAAAGTCGAGCTGGATTTCAAAATGCTCTTAGATTCAAGTCTGGATGTACCCTAAATTCTTGACGAATATCTTATTCTGATGAATATTTGTTGCAATGAATTAATGATTATCATCAGCTAGTTGGTGCCAATATTGGTTAAGGTTTAAGTAGAGATATCTTTAAATTACCTTACTCTAGATTCCGGTGTGTTACAAGCGAAGTGCCCCCTTTAACTGTTAGAAGATTATCAAGGCCCTGGAAAACGCCAAGACATGTAAATCATTGCTCTTCGCTAACTGTGTATGCGATTGTGAGACTTGGGCAACGGTCCTTTTTTTGGTTTTGCACGTCAGATACAATAAAAAATTTTAGAAAAAGGCAAAAGAATTGTTTTATGTCGCTGAAATATTTGGCCCTGTTGCATGTATCTGGACTCTTGACCCGTGCCAAACACACCAATGAACCTGTGGATTTCTTGGATGGGTAATTAAACCGTATAACTGAATGAATATCAGGAAGAGGAAAATGATGGCAATAAAATAAAATACAGCATTCCCCGTTTCAGAACGTAATTGTGATTACTTATCTTTCTGGGTGTCAGTGTCCTCATCTGTAAAATGAGGAAATAGGAAGGGACCTAACATTTCTTGAGCGCCCACTTGATAGTGTATATATTTTCTCATTTAGATTTCAATGTATCTTCCAGTGGATAACCAGTCTAGAATGCCCCATCCTAATATTCTAGCATATTTAAATTACTTATGCATGCAGATTGCACACACTTTCTTTTAGATATAAGCAGAGAACTGGTTGAGAATGAAAAAAAAGGAGATAAAGCAATGAAAAAGATTTTTACAATGAAGTCTCAGGAAAATTAAGCGGGAAAAAATTCAAGTTCAGGTCTTAATAATTGCAGTTATTGTTGAGCACTTCTAGTGAGTCAAGCACTGCAAAGATTTCTTCAGTATGTAAGAGAAATGAGACAAGTATAGAGCCAGTTACTGAGAAAGTAAGAAGTCTTTGGTGCTATCGCTTTCATGGGCAGAAATGCACTCCCATTATTGGGAAGGATATTCGTGAAATATAGCTCTACAGATAAAGGATAATCAACAGAAGCATTTCAGGTACAAATTACTGTGGGAGCTGGGAAGTGGGAGTCAACGTCTAGATGAAAAGTGCTGAATATTTGAATAAAGGACACATGGGAAGAAAATACATTTTCAGCATTTCATGTTACTGTAACAAAGCAAAAATATTTTTAGAGTCTTATTAAGGTTTGGAGGGATTATTTTTAAATTTATTTTCTGATGAATCAGGGTTGATAAATAGAAATTAGTTCATGTTCTTTATTAACAAGGTTAAAGAAAAACTTATTCTGAAAGTTCTTTAAATGGTTAGGAAAATACACTCAGGACTGTCTTGATAGATGTCAAAATATAATGGAGAAAAGAGATCATGCTCAATTCTAAATACAGCAAAGACAAGTGAAGATGAGATGGGGGAATGTGGTTGAAAATTATGAAAAGGAAGATATCAAAGGCATGAGCATTCTAGCTAAGCCAACTTAACAGGATTGTTGCTGAAGGTAGCCACAGTAATGAGACATCAAGGATTGGGAATTCTTTCTGAACCGACTTACCAGAACTCCAGTACAACTGAATTAGACAAGCTGAAGACAAAGTCCAAGGACAAGACCTAGACGAAAAGAGGGTGCAAAGACTCCTAACTAAAGCCAAGGAGAAGGCCTTTGTCACTATTTATTTGTCACTTAATAAATATTTACTGAGTACCCTCTATATGTCAATATCACAGGTATTCTATATAAAGTACTATTTTTGTAGTATTAATATGTAGATATCTACCCAGTTTCTCAATACCGAATTCTACCATGAAGGATTTCAGAAACCATCACAGTTGGAGAGATCTTACCTCCTATATTTTACAAATGAGGAAACTGAGGCTTAGGGTAATTAAAAGTTTGTCCAAAGATAAAGAGCTCAAGTAGCAGAGCTAAAGATTGTATTTGATCAAATGAAAAGCCAAAGAAACAACAGCTCTAGACTTATGTAATTATCCTCACAGAGCTTGCTTGGTCTTTAAACCACATGATCTTTTACACACCATCAAAGAACATCAAAAAGTTTTCTCAGCCAGGCACAATAACATAACACCTGTAATCCAAGTAACTTTGGATGCTGAGGCAGAAGGATTGCAAGTTCAAGACTAGCCTCAGCAATTTGGCAAGGCTATAAGCAACTTAGTGGGACCCTGTCTCAAAAACAGAAAAAATGGCTGGGGACTTAGCTCATTGGTCAAAGCACCCCTAGGTTCAATTCCCCCCGCCCCCCCCCCCAAAAAAAAATAGCTATCTCACTTAGGACAGAGGACATAGCTAGACAAACCTGGGAAAATACAAACAAGTCTGGAACATAGTTAATAGTAACATATGTATTTTAGTTTCTTAATTTTGACTTGCATGCTATGATACTATGTTAACAACGACAGAAACTAGATGAGGAGAGTCCAGGAACTACCATGTTTGCCACTGTTCTGTAAAACTATTCCAAAAATTTTTTTTTAAAAAACTTAAAATAATGCTATCTCAAGTGGCCTATTGAGAACTCAGTAAGAAATACTCTCTGGGTCCACACAATGTCACATGCTTGTAATTCCAGACACTCAGAAGACTGGAAAAGGCAGAAGAATTGAAAATTCAAGGCCAGCTTCCACAAACTTAACAAGACCCTCAGCAACTCAGGGAGATCCTGTTCTAAAATAAAATTAAAAGGACTGGGAATGTAGCTCAGTGGTAAAGCACCCCTATGTTCAATTCCCAGTTACCCTTCTTCCCCCCAAAAGAAAGAAATACCCTTTGGCTTCAGATAAATGATTGGTTGATCTTGAAAAACTTTCCAAGATCATTTGGTTATATAAAAAAGAAAATTCACATTCTTCTTTGGCATTGTCTTCTGTTATAAGTTTCATATCAGGAAATGAGTTTCAAAAGCTAAATTAAATCCTTCCCATTTCCATTGAAGTTTATTTTTCATTCATACAGTATTTTTGTCTCTTCTGCTTCATAAATAGCAGCTGTTCATCATCATTCATGCAATCTCATATGCTTGCAGATCTAGTATTCTATGAACAGAACATCATATGGCTTCTTTGAACATTTAGAAATGAATGAAGAAAAAAAGGAATGAATGAGGAAAAATTTATTGAATGCCATTTATGTGCAAAGCAGTATGTAATTTCAAGTATGGGGGTTCAATAAACGGGAAAATAGGACACAGGACCTGCCTTTGAAAAGCCTGATATTCTTCCAGCATTAAAAAAAAAGTATCTCATGCACTTAATAAATATTTACTGAGTACCCTCTATATGTCAAGTACTGTTCCAGATGCTGAGGAGACTTGATAATAAGGAAATAAAATAGATTCCTGCTGTCAGAGTTTATTGTCTAGAAAGAGAAACAAACTTAATCAGACAATCACCAAATAGATGTAAAATTACAACTGTAGTAAGTGGTATAAAGAGAAGTAGAGAGTCAGGGCTGTTATTTGCCCATATGGTGTCTTATTTTAAAAAAGGCATTACCATAGGCAAAAAGAGCCCAGAGAAGGTAAACCTTGGCAAGCAGACTGTGCCTTTGGTGAATCAGAAAAAGATGCTCCTTTATCCAGTTTGATACAGCCTTGTTCATGAACAGGTCTTTGTGAGTGGAGCGCAAACTGGATTTCAGCCCCATTCATCACCTCAGGTGAGAACCTAGGTTTATATAAATAACCTGCATAAGCGTAAGTAGCAGACCTATAAAAAGGTTCTAGATTCATATAGTAAAGGAAAGCTTCAGAGTTTCCCTGAGGAACAGAAAGAAGAGTGGAACTTCAAGAAGAATGAGTTAACCAGGTGAAAGAGAAGAAGGACAACATTCTAAGGAGTGATAACAGCATCTACAAAAGGCCCTGGGGGCAGGAATGAAAGGAACAAAGGTCATTGGTAAGCTTAAACAGTCAGTGCTGGTGAAGGACTGGAGAAATGGCGAGAATATGATAATATATAAAGCTAGAAAAGTAGGTAAGAAATCAGACCATGCAGGACATTGTAGACCATATTAAGACTGTTGTGTTAAAATGTATATCCAGCTGATAGGACATATACAGAAGGAATTATAATGGCATTACTTTATTTTAATTTTGTTGATATTTCATTTATATATAGTGAAATGCACAGGTATTAAACATACAGTTTGATGAATATACATCCATGTAATCCATATCAATAAGATGTGGATGGAATTTCTAGCACTTCAGAAAGTCTC